ATGGGCAGTGCTTCTAATCCCAGCGACCTCACTTCCCATCCAGCTCCCTGCCTGTGGCCTGGGAAAGCAGTAGAGAATGGCCCAAAGCCTTGGGACCCTCACCCATGTGGGAGACCCTGAAGAGGTCTCTGGCTCCTGGCTTCAGATCAGCTCAGCTCCAGCCTTTGTGGTCACTTAGGGAGTGAATTATCGGACAGATCCTCCTCTCGGTCTCTCCTCCTCTCTGTATATCTGACTTTCCAATAAAATAAAATAGAATAAATAAGCTTAAGAAAAAGAAAATTTGGGGGATGATATCTACCCACTTGTGAAGCATGACATAGGCTCCTGGTGGGGTCACCGCTGGTTAGTTATCTCCTGCCGTGTAACAAGTCATTCCAAACCAGACAGCTTGAGGAGCAAACACCGATCATCTCAGATAATTTCTTCAGATCAGGATTCTGGAATTGACTTTGCAGGTGGCTCTGGTCCAAGAGCTCCCAGGAGCTCACAGTCCAGTTCTCAGCCAGAGCCTTGGTGGTATAGTGGTGAGCATAGCTGCCTTCCAGCTCTCAGCCATCAAAGGCTTGGCTGGGGCTGGGCACACCTGCCTGCCAGCTTGCCCCTGAGGCTACTGGGTGAGCACAGGACAGCGGGGTCTGTGGGGACCATCTCCCCCATGCTAACCACACAGCAAATATTGACCTTCTCAATTTCCTATTTATTTTCACCAGGAACATATTACATAATAAACTCTAAGGAGCAATCTCTCAGCTGCTGGCAAGGGCACTTCCTCCGGCTCTGTGGCTGATGTTTAGGCTTTCCTTACCAAACTCCTTACTCTTCAATCCTATAGGCCGGCACTCCCCTACCCCTCACTGCTTGACCAACAACTGCTTTCTCAGCTCGGTCCTCCGGCGCCATCCAGTGGCAGCCTCCAGAACTGCTGCTCTGGTTGATGATCGCTCAGGGATCTCACTGGGAAAGCTCTGGACTTTGCACTTTCACTTGGTAGTTCACATTGAGGCCTAAAAGAACTCTGAAATCTGAGGCAGGATGGGGACGCCTGTCCAAACTTCCCAGAGCCTAGTCGCTCCCCCAACTTCCCGCTGCTTGTTCTCTCTGCCCCTAGATGCCAACCAGCCCCTTGGACTTGCACAGACCACGCTCAGCCATGAGTGAAAATGTAGCCCCCAGTGCAGTGGCATTCCAGATTAATCCTCCCCCTGCAGGTGCTGACATCCCATATGGGTGCCAGTTTGAGTCCCGACTGCTCCACTTCCAATCCAGTTCCCTGGATATGGCCTGGGAGAGCAGCTGAGAATGGCCTATGCCTATGGTTCCCTGCACCCATGTGGGAAACCAGAAAGAAGCTCCTGGCTCCTGGCTTCAGATCAGCTCAGCTCTGGCCATTGAAGCCAATTGGAAAACCTCTCTCTATCCCCTCCCCTTCTCTTTCTGTAAAAGTTGCCTTTCAAAAATAAACAAAAAGCAGCTAAATGCAAAGGAACTAAATGCAAAAGCTGAGCACTCAGAGAACAGCTTTGGGGCCGCACTCACGTCCAAGAACCTCGCAGGGCGGCTCTGGGCACGGTGCCTGCCCCCAATCCTGGCTTCCTCTCCACTTCCAGCCTAGCTTCCTGCTAATGCACTTCCTAGGAGCAGCTGCAATAGGCTCATCTGCCAGGTGGGAAACCCAGACCAAGTTCCCGGATCCTGGATTCAGGCCGGCCCAGCCCTGGCTGTTGAGGGCATTTGGGGAGCAGATAACGTATTTTTTTTTCTCCCCGTCCCTTAATAAAGTGAAATTGAATCAATTTTCTTCAAAAGAAATAAATTATTTTAAACTAAACCAGCTTCTGTTCAAGGATGACCAAGAACCAAGCTTGGAGCTGCCTGAATTCCTGGTGCCACCGATTATCAGCAATGAGACTAAATGTGATACTTGTGGGCCTAGGGCGGGAGCCTAGCAGCTAAAGTCCTCACCTTGAATGCACTGGGATCCCATATGGGCACAGGTTCTAGTACCAGCAGTCCCGCTTCCCATCCAGCTCCCTGCTTGTGGCCTGGGAAAGCAGTCAAGGACGGCCCAAGGCCTTGGAACCCTGTACCATATGGGAAACCCAGAAGCTCTTGGCTCCTGGCTTCGGATCAGCTCAGCTCCGGCCATTGTGGCCACTTGGGGGATGAATTAGCAGACAAAAGATCTTCCTCTCTGTCTCTCCTCCTCTCTGTATATCTGACTTCTCAAAAAAAAAAAAAAACAAATAAATCTTTCATACAAAAATGTGGTACTTGCTCCAGTGACAAAAAAAAAAAAAATGCTACATAACAATCCCAAGGTCAGATGCTCATGGAATGAAGTATTCCCATGAATACACAGGTCAGCCAGGGGGTCGGACAACTGAGGCCAGGCCGGGCCACGAGCTCTACTCCACGGTGGACTTGGCAGGACAGCTATGCCCCACAGAAGGGGAGAGGCATGGGTCATCGGCCCAGTCCCCACCACGGCTGAGATGCCAGCAGAGCCCCAGGTGGGAGAGATGTGTCTGCCACTGAGGCGCCACAGGCAGCACCCCTCCTTTCCTACCACGAACAGCACTCGGCACCCTGGGTATGCCTCACAGTGCTTTCCCATCAACCACATTGCACTCACGTGCCACCGGCCAGTGCTCACCCTCAGAAATCAGTGAAGGAAAAAGCCACGTGTGTGCATCGGTGTGCAGGTGGTCATACAAGTACACATTGCACACAAAATGTCCTGGAGGTAAAAAAAATAAGAGCTTCACCTCTGCCTCACTTCCTCCACCCTGTCCATGCCTCCTCACCCCTGCTCACACCTCCTCACCCTGTCATCCCTACACTTCCTCAGCCCATTATCCCTGTCACACACTCCCTCACCCTTCACCCCTGCCCACACCTCACCCCTGCACACACTCCCTCACCCTTCACCCCTGCCCACACCTCACCCCTGCACACACTCCCTCACCCCTTCACCCCTGCCCACACCTCATCCGTGCACAGACTCCCTCACCCCTTCACCCCAGCCCACACCTCCTCATCCCTGAACACACCTCTTCACCCTTGCCCACACCTCCTCATCCCCTCACCTCTGCTCACACTTCCTCACTATCTCACCCCTGCCCACATCCTCTACCCCTGCATATACTTCTCATCTCTTCATTCTTGCCCACACCTCCTCACACCTGAACATACTTCCTCACTCCTTCACCTCTGCCCAAACCGCCTCACCTCCTTCACCCCTCCCCGCACCTTCTCACCTCCTATCTCCTGCAGACTCTTCCTCTTTACCTCTGCTCATAACTCCTTACCCATCAGCCCTGCTCACACCTCCAAATGTCCCTCACACCTACATCTCCTTACTCACATTCACCCCTGCCCACACCAGCTCACATCCCAACCACCCCAGACCGTGGTCCCTCCGAAGCAAAGTTTACACTTTCAGAAATGCCCCCACCTGCATTTTCTTTATGGCTCAGCTCACACATCATGCCTCTCGGAGCTGTTCCAGGCCCACCTCCTCTTTCTGTAAGCACCGTCTGCTAACTCACAATGCTCTTGGCTTCTGCATTGCAGGTCCCAGCCCCTCCCTCAAGGCCACCTCCTGGTGGAAAGCAAGACTTCTGCTCCACTCAGTTGTCCCCAGAGGCTCATGTCATGTCACTGCTGTCGCAACTCCAGCCTCTCTCTCCTTCTGCTCTCCTACATTTTCCCACATGGTTGGGCCTCTGGATCCACATATGAGTTCTGGATGAATCTGCTAACTCCGGGCTCTAGCCGGGCCTAGCACTGTCTACGGTAGCCAACTGCAGAGTGAACCAGCAGATGAAAGAACTTTTTCTGCTTCTCCCTCTTCAATTGTTTCAAAGAAAAAAAAGTAAATCTTAATAAAACTTGGCCCAGTGTAATAGCTCAGTAGTTAAATCCTCACCTTGCATGCACTGGGATCCCATATGGGCACTGGTTCATGTCCCAACTGCTCTACTTCCCATCCGGCTCCACGCTTGGGGCCCAGGAAAGCAGTAGAAGATGGTCCAAAGCCTTGGGACCCTGCACCCACATTGGAGATGTGAAAGAAGTTCCTGGCTTGGATCAGCTTAGCTCCGGCCATTATGGCCACTTGGGGAGTGAACCAGCGGATGCAAGACCCTTCTCTCCCTCTCCTGATCTGCCTTCTCAATAAACAATCAATGTTAGGAAATAAAATTAAATAAAACCACTCACACTGCCAGAGTATCTCAACATCTCTAAGATTCCCCAAATGCAGTGACCAAGTGTGTCTTTAAAAGGGATTTGTTGTCTGCCAGAGGGTGCCTGCCCCGTCGACCCATGCCTCCAAGCTTCTGGGGACACCCCACTTCTTCAAAGTCTCCCCACACGGGTGTCATGAGCAGACCTCTGCCCCCTGCGTCCCACTCAGAAGGCCCAGAGCCCCGAGTGTGTCGCTGCATTTGCAGAGTCTCTAAAGGGTGGCAAAGTACAGTGAGCTCAGTCAAGCCAACTGCAGTCGTTACACAGAGAGGAGATGGAACGCACAGGACGAAGGCCAGCCAGCAAGAGAGCGCCCTCTTCTGGCCTCTAAGGACTGGAAGGAAATGAATTCTCGTGTCAACCAAGGACGTGTGATGCTGGCACCGGCGGACATGGAACAACTCACAGAGCACTTCATGAACAAGTTCCCAAAGGGACCTGTGGTTTTCTACGGCATCTCCCGCCCCCCAGCCTGGACACCAGCCCGAAACTGCTCCAGCCAGGGTGTGGACATCATGCAAGGCGGCAGCAAGAAAGAAGGAGACAAAGGCATCCTGTGAACATTTGTTTTTATATTTGGTATTTGTTAAGTCTTTTTTTAAAAAATTTTTTCAGGCCATTTTTTTTCCTTTAAAAAAAAAAGCAACCAACAGCAATAGTCTGTACAAATATAACAAACATTAGAAATATGCATCATTCCAAAATAGTTACAAGAAAATTACAGTTTTAGAGTCCACGCCAACACATCCTATGCTGTATGTGCCCCCAGGGGAGAAAAAGCTACAGTGTGTCCAACACACAACTGCTACACAGTAGTCTGAAAAATTCAACTTGGACTTTTGAGGCAAAATCAGCATCAGTCACCAAGACGGGTTTAACTGGACAAGCGCAATCAAGCATTTCCAGAGCAAACCCTGGCCTTTTCACCCCAGGCGCACACCGCACCGGAGGCAAAGGCAGTGTCAGCCCACCCCGCCCCGCCCCCCTACCCACCCCGCCCCCCCGTCCCTGGGGCCTCTGACTTTACAAAGCACAAATCCAATGAAGTCGGTGATGCCACAGTCTGGCTGGAGGTCACAGAGCAGCCAGCCCCAGCGAACAGACATCAAACGACATTTCCATGGGGGGACCATCCTCACTAGAGTCAACTCCAGGGGCAAAAAAAAGTTTTTGCTCCTAGGAGAAGCTACTCGTGGTCCCAATCCACACCCCCGGCCCCAAACTAGCTGGCCTGAGACCCTGTACGGGCTGCTGCCCCACCTGTGACTGCCGAGTACCGTGCGGGGTCACAGCCACTGGGCCAGGGGTCTCTTCCAACCCAGCTCACGACCCCCTGGCGGCGAGCAGTGGCGGGGCCTGAGCAGGGGCTCAGGACTGCCTTCTACCTGCCTGCCCCAACCCGTGAGTCCCGTGTCCTTACTCCCTCTGCCTGGTCCGTGACTGGCCTGTAACACCTTCACTCCCAACGCTCTCTGCTGAGTACTGAGACTTAGGGTGACCCGCCCCTTGAGGAATCCCGGACCCCTCCACCATGAGCCTCTCTCTCGGAAGCAGGAGTGCGACACGGGGGGGCCAAGGCTCCATGTGAGGCTCTGACTCTGGTGTTCCCAACTGTGCTGCTTCTGTCCTCTGCTGGCTTCTCGGGTTTTTGAAGGATGTGGCAGCCACATGGGCAGGGCAGAGCTTAGGATCTGCACGGGACTGGACACCTAAGTGCCCATCTCAAATTGGAGGGAAGAGAAGCCCAAGTCCACGGAACCGCCACCTGAAAAGGGACACGGGAGGAAACCAGAGTCCTCCGTGGGCACCGAGGGCCTGAGGATGGCAGCCATCGGCCTACACCCTGCTGCCCGCCACACTCTGGGGACACTGTGCAAGCAGCCAAGGCCCCCTGTGGTCCTGCCACACACCCACCCTGCCCTGCCCAGCAGGGGCCCGATGCTGAGCTGCTGGTCCCCAGCAGAAAGTGCAATTGCCATGCGAGAAAGAAGAGGGTCTGCCAGACCACCAGACCGTGACCTCTCCATCCTCCAGTACCTCAGAGGGGAGACCTCTGACCCACACAGGGCCTTCACAGCTGTGCGCTTCCCCCTCGGAACCTCGTCATGTCCAGTCAGCGAGCAAAGTGCCAGGGCTGGGAGGAGCGTGGCTCCCCGGCGACACGCGCATCCTCCACCTGCAGCAGGCTGGATGGCCGTGGGGATTCGGCCACCGCACACGGCCAGCGCCTTGGCTGTTCCTTCATCACACCGCGGGAACTTCACTGCCTACCAGAAGGTAAGTCGAAAAGTCTTCAACACGGAACCTGAGCCACAAATCCTTTCGTGTGAATGCCTTGAGAAGCTTACAGATCATGTACCCAGAAAATAAATCCACCTAAATTCTGAAATTTGGCGGACCAAATATCTGAAGTCCTCCACTCTCCCCAAAAAAAAAAAAATCAACATTAAAAAAAAATCAAAGTAATTACAGCAGCAGTATAGTGAAAAGAGGTTTTAAAAATAATAATTACATCTTTGATACAAATCAAACTTTGTACACCTCAATTCGTAGGAATGACAGTTTTAAGAGCTGAATACTTTATATATACAGTAGATACAGTATGTGCCACTGCAGACAGACTACAGCCAGTGGACCGGGGGAGCAGGGGTTAACCGAACACACAGTTCACATGGAAGTGTTCACAGATTGCCACACTTCGAAATGCACACACACGGACGCACGCACACAAACACAGACACACGTGAGATGCCAACCTGAGTAAAACGTCACTAAGAACCTAGAGCTCACGAATCACGAAGTCACATATTGCACCTTAAATAATCCTTCTTACCAACGACAGAAATGACAGAGAGAAGCCAACAGGCAGAAGAACAGGATTTAGGTCGCCGCTGCATTCATCTGTTCTCCCACCCCAGCCCACGGCAAACTCGCAACGCGTGCTTCTAGTTTCCATTCTCACCCAACCAGTGGGCTGAAACTGTTGCCAACAGAAGTCTTTGGAGAAAACTATGAGGGAGAAAAGGAAGAGAGATTGGACTACAAGTGTGAGTGGGGGCGGGGAGGACAGCCAGGGGCGAAGAGGGTCCCGCGTCCCCCCGTCTGATCCAAGGAGGACAGGAACGTCCCCGAGAGGGCGAACCTCTGAAGCTAAACTACGCTTAAATATTCCATATACCCCAATTGTAGGAGATTCAGTACAAAAATAGACATCTACTGAGTTCTGCCTGTGGAAGCATAATTCAGAAAAGGCACATGTTCAGATAGAAAACCCACGCGGGACAGGCCCCGCCTAGCCCTCCCAGCACGCTGACCACCCACACTTCCGTCTGCTATACCAGCTGGGCTCCAAGATACAGTAGGTAAAAATAGACCTCTGCTACTGAAAATATATTCAACCCAATACAACCCTGCCTTGAGCATGTGAGGCATGTAAAATAGTCTTAAAAAAAAAAGAACCTGTTTTGAAAACGGGGAGGGGGGGGGCAAAAAAGTCAATAACTCATGTTTTCTGGTTTTCCATGATTCTCTAGGGGAAAAAAAAGATGGGGAGGGGGCAGCTCCTCCTCCTGGTGGTCAGTAAGCGCGTGCTCTGCTCAGCAGGAACCAAAGCCCCTGCAGGCCCCCCTGGGCACTGTCAGGTGTCCCACCTGCAGCTTCACACCCTCCAAGTTAGTTCAAACGCAACAGAACAAAGGATTAAGATAGTAGACGCAGAAACAACACGGTGACCCAGGGGCACACTCCTTGGCCGTGGGTGTGCCCGCCTGGCCGCCTTCAGCAGGGCTGTCCTCCGGAGTCAGGCAATGTAACCGTTGGTCTTGCCGCACGTGGACACGGGCGCCAGGTTTTCGTAGATGGTCATTGCCGTCGTGTTCTGGTAGATGAGATCTACTTTGGAGTCCTTCTGGGATCTGATAATATCCAAAACACACTGATTGAGGAAAACATACTGGTCCTGAAAGGAAACGAGAGAGGGAGACCCATGAGCACCGGTCCCAGGGCGTGGCCCACAAGACTGACCCCTTCCCCACGGGACGTGCCCCAGCCACCCAGCGGCAAACAGTGCAAGCAGTAACAGCTGGGCCAGCGCTATGGTGTAGTGGGTACAGCCACCACCTGCAATGCTGGCAGCTTGTAAGGGGACCCAGCCACTCCACTTCCGATCCAGCTCCCTGGGAAGGCAAAGGAAGGTGGAACACTTCCCGCTTCCCATTCCCTAAAACGAGGATCAGAAGCCTGGGGAGGCAGGAGGGGGGCAGAGCTAAGGAAGAATATGGAGGAACCACCCCCCCACACACACACACACACATATACACACACTCATCCTGGTCTGTGCAGAATAGAGTGGTCATCCCCTTCTGAGGAGGTATGTGACGAGTGATAATTACGTAGAGTTGCGTGGGGACCACCGCTTAGCAAGCAGGTCAGAATCAGCGAGTAGTCATTACAAAGAGGAGGTGCATGCTGACACAAAAAGACTCCCATGAGGGGTTGGCACAGAAATTAAGATATCAAGGCCCTTATCAACGTGTCTGGGTCTGACCCCGGCTCTACTCCTGACCCCAGCGTCCTGCTAATGTTCCTGGGAGGCAGCGGGGGATGCCCAAGGCGCCCCAGAAGTCTTGAAGACCCAGACGGAGTTCCGCCCTGGCCGCTGCAGCCATGGGGTGGTGAACAAGCAGGTGAGAGGCTCGCTGTCGCTCTGTATCTTTCCGATAGATACATAAATAAATTAAAAAACCTAAAGAGGAGTGGTTGCTATTAGTATTTTTTAAAGAAAAGATCTCTACAATTGTGTAAGAGAAAAAAAAAAATCACTGGAAAGCATTATATACAAAACAGAATCGATTTGACCCAAAATATGAGTAGGTGAGTGTATGCGTGTAAGACACAGAGAAAAGGACTGTTTATTTATAAAGACAAAAGTCAACATCTCACAATAAATATGTAGACATGGATCCAAACATCACATGGTACCCCATAGGTAAGTGTAATTTTTATACAACAGAATAGTTTTAACTAAAAAACGTATATATACCAAACTACAAATACTGGTTACCTCCAGAGAATGGGATAAGGAACAAAGAGTTCAAAAGAAAAAAAAAATGTATTCTATGTAGTCCTATGTTGTCAAAGTTTTTAAGTATATATAACATAAAGAATATATATTGAATTCATACAGAAAATATAATGTATACTTTCAAAACATTTTAGAGATAGAGTAAGATTCAAGCAGGTGTAAGATTCCTGTGTTTTTCCAAAAACAATAAAAGATGGAGAAATATTACTCTATGTAATTAGAAAGAAAATAATCTCCCTTCTGGCCAACACAAAAGATGAATTTCCCTCTTTCCATCATAATGATGCAGATCACCCCCCCAAGCACACAATGTACCCACAGATTCTAGAATATCCCCTGCTGGACTCAAAAACACACAGCACATATTCATAGTGCTCTAAATTGGTACCGAGTGGCAGCCTGACACGCATCAACACCCTGCTCTCACCCCGGCCCAGACGCACCCACTTGTGTGAGGGCAAGGACCTCCCAACGCATTCTGCTGCAAATGCCTGCAAAATACTGGGCATCGGGCACCACTCAGGGACAGTCAAATCCAACAAGCACACTCAAATTATGCCCCAGACACTAAGCATCTCTGTTCCCAGTGATCGGCCAGACTTCCATAGCTGGACTGGTACCCTTTAATAAGGGTATCAATGTTTCATTTCAATGTTTAAGCAGCACTTCGCTACCTCTTATTTTTCCTGACTGTCACAATTGTTTCAGCAGCTTGTTTTCAAGATGGCCCAATCCTCTTAGACACAAAGAATGCAAAAGGTCAGTTTTATGAATGTAACACCTGGAAAGAATTTCAGCCTTGGTTTATCATCCCACTGCTGCGATCAGAACTGCACACTACTCACATTAGATAATTCAACACCAAGGAAGATCAGCAAAGAAATCCAGGGTGGCTTCACAGCCACCAGAAGGATGTGGAAGGCAGAATAGTTTAGCTTAAATATGTGACATGATATAACCCTTTCTTTTTACTTGTTAACACACTCATTTATTTTGAAATTCAGACTTGGAGACAGAGGGACCGTCCATCCACTGGTTCACTTTCCAGATGCCACAAGCCAGGGCTGCACCAGGCTGGAGCCAGGAGCTTCTTCTAAGTCTCCCACATTGGTGCAGGAGCCCAAACACTTGGACCATCCCCCACTGCTTTCCCAGATCATTAGCAGGGAGCTGGGTCAGAAGTAGAATGCTTGGGCACAAACCAGTGCCCATATGAGATGTCGCATGACAGGCAAGAAGGAGCTTGACCTGCCGCCCCACAGTGCCAGCCAATACAACCCTTCACAAACAGCTGAGAAGGGTGGACTGGCCAGCAGGGACGCAGCCTCACCTCTGTCTGCACCATTAGAGGCCTGTGCATGCGGAGGTCGTACACAATGCCGTACACATCCACGGTGTTCTCGTTCTCGATCTGGTAGATGAGACGATCAATCGCAATGAAAGTGCCCGTCCTTCCAACCCCAGCGCTGGAAGAAAAGCAAGACAAGCACGTGAGCATGAGGCATCGTCTCTGTGGAGCCCTCGGCTTCAAACGCCCGGTCTCCATCCTCCATGATCAGCTCCGCCTTGGTAAACAGCTGCTCATTTAAACATCAGGGCATAAGATGGGATCAGCTTGAAACTAAGTCCCAACCATACTTCTGAGTCAAGGGACACCAACAAAACATCTTGCTTGAGTTTCCCAAATCTTAGGTCAAGCTGCCACCATAACCTAGGGTGGGAATTTTCACCAACTGATTCCCTTTAGGGCCAAAGTCCCTCCTTTCTTCTGTCCTAACTTAATGCCTTTCTCTTTAAAGCTTATGTTTTACTGCTATAGAGTAATCACTAGCAAACTTTTTCTGCAAAGAGCCAGAGAAGAAACTTTTCTGGCTACACAAATGCATCTGGCTGTTCCTGTCCCAGGAGCATGCAATCAGAAACAACATATAAACAAGTAAGCACAGCTGTGCTACGGGGAATTCTATGCACAAGAGCAGGCGGCTAACCGGATCTGGCTCACAAGGCTATATAGTTTGCCTACCCCTAGTCTGCAGTGTCAAGGTTTAGGGAGTCCAGTCTATGGTCCCATACCCAAACCTTTCTTAGGTTTGCAAACACCTAAGCATACAACTGCACCTGGAATCCATCGCACCACGGTGCCCTCACTGTACCTGCAATGCACCAGAATCGGCGACTCAGGAGGACTCTGCTTCATGTAGTCGCGGACAAGGTACCGGAAGTTGATGAGCAGGTCAGTGGTGTCAGGAACGCCATGGTCCGGCCAGGAGGTAAAATGGAACTGGCGCAGGGCGTGACTCTCACTCGTCTGGATCTGAAGGGGAAGAAACAGAACAGCTGCCTGACAGCCCCCGGTGGCCAAGCACCCAGGCAGAGCTGAACCCCAAACTAATCCGGCCCACGGTAGGCAGCCACCCACACCTAGCACTTCACTGTGCACGACAGCTGGCAAAGCACCTGCAGACTTAGCCTGCTCATCACACCTTCATCGAATGCCCAAGGACAAGATGCCCTGCACAGAAAATGGACAGAGGTTCCCAGAAAAGGAGCCTGAATGCCCCCTCAACACTCATCTCCATGGCAGGAGAGGCTCTGTGACTCTGAGGTCAGATCACTGCCCTTTCCCGTTGCCTGCCAGCCACAGACACGCCTTCCTGCACGTGTGCCCCGGGGAGCATCACCCCATCCGTGAGCCCACAGGGGCAGATCCCTGAGCTCACCACTGGAAGCAATTCACACAAACGCCATTTTGATGGTCAGCGCCTTCCAGGCCGGCCACTGGCCAGAAGCCACTCTAGTACTACAGGTGCAAGGCAGCCCCTCTTTTTCCCAACCACCACCCTCCGAGGCTTGGTCTTTCCAACCCTGCATTCATGATCCTAGGAGGTTGTATCATGCAACATTTGGAAAACAGGGAGGAGTAAAAGGGAAGAGGCAGGGCAGAAGACGGTGGGCAGCCTCTCCCAGATAAACTCAACACTCCTGAGTTTCACCACACGTTCTCATCCCAGGAAAGAAACCAGTGGTGAGAGACTGAGCAGGTGGGGGACAGGTGAAGGCTCCGCTTCTTAGATGATCTCTGCAGAGGGGGCTCAGCCGGGAGTTCAAGTCCATCTGTAATGTTCTCAGTTTTTTAAGGAAAAATCTGCGTGTGTGTGTGTGTGTGTGTATGTGTGTTGGGTAATGAAATCTGGAACCATCCCAGCAAAGGGGATGAGCATGTTCAGGTCCTTGGGACAAGCTGCCAAGAGGGTACAGTTACACAGCCATCAGGAGCTTTGTCACACAAATTTGACTTCCTATACAACTGAAGTAGACTTATCTGTGCAACATGCAGGTGCAGATGCATCGGAATCTTACTGATGGAAGTGCTGCACATGGCTGCTGACAGCCAACATCCACTGCTGATGCCGGATCTCCCACTACCCCACCCCATCAGCCTCGGCTTGTGCACAGCCACACGCACCCGGGCCATCTGACAGAGGAATAACTTAGCAAGCTTCCCTCCTGACAGGAAGGCTAAGGCTATACGGAGAGCGTGGGCTGCAAGAACGCCATCCGATGCATAAAAGTGCTAGTGCGTGTCCACCTAAGAGCCGCCTCCGCCGACTCCTCGCACAAGCTCATTTCCTGAGACCCACTCTTCTTGACCTCTCACTCACATTTTTCACTGTGAAGTCTCTGACAGTCCATTCAGGAAGAACAATTTCTGTCGTCATGGCCACAGTTATGTCCCCATAGTCCTGGACCTGCTTGGAAGGCCAGTACTCCTCACATTTGGTCTAGAATAAAATAACATTTTTTAGGAAAAACAAAAACAAAACTCAAGACCACACCATCTGCCATCACCGAAACCCCAGACAAGGAATCACCTACCCTTCCCTGCTCAACACATTTGGTCAACATAACAATGGCATATACATTTTTCTCCCAAACCATACGCCAGAAATCTTTCAAAGTGTTTGGCAAAGGTCCTTGTGTAGCAATAAAATCTCTCTTGGAATGGTAGCCCTAAAATGGAAAACAACACATAGTCAGCATCAAAGGAAGAAATTCTGAGAATGTCACATCCCAGCCTGGTGACAGCACCACATCCACACTCACAGGCATGTAGTTGGCATTGATGTAGTCATCTGTCGAATGGGTCTGCACGGAAAGTTTGACACGGGAACTATCATCTGTGACATTAAAAGAGAAAAACAAAAAGGCCTCACCAGAAGGGACATTTCACACAGGTGGGAAAAGCAAAAGACGAAATGGCATCATCAAGACATCACCAGGACATGGGGCTTAGAGGAGGAGGAGTTCGGCATTCCACATGGATGCCCGCACGTAGCCCTTGCACCCCGCTGTGTGGTTGTAATGCAAGAAAGGGGCTGAGAGGTAGATCCTGAATGAGACAGGACCTGGGCAGACCTGGGCCAAAGGCTGGTTTTGCCATTACAATCTCTTACTGCTCCTTGAAAAAGAGTCACCAAGAACCAAGTCAAGTTTCCTTTTTCTCTAACAAGAAACACTGTACCGCCTACCACATGAGGTTAGGGGTGGACTGAACATACTAGCTGCCACCTCATATCCAGGATGGGAAAATGGGGAGTCAGTATCACTGATTCCCTTCCACTGTTACAGTTCGGATGACCAGCGACGGAGGAAAAGGGGAGGTGGTGAGGACGAAGTGACTTACAGGGCAGTACGTTATTATAGCGATTCTTCCCTCGGTTCTCAGCCAGCTCAGCTGCAATCTTAGGGAGACTGATTCCAACAAGCTTCAGATCCTGGAAACAAAACCAAGCAGTCATTCACTTAGTGAGTCTTCAAATATTATTTCCGCCGAGCACAGAATGGGACAACAAGGCAAAGAATGCAGAAGTTAACATGGGCCCCAGGATCCATTCACACGATCTTATATGGAAGTCAGGTCTTGGAAGACAGAATAAAGTTAAAATGAAGTCATGTGCAGTAGGGTGGGAGACAAGGAGACAGGCCATGGGAGAGGAGTGGAGGGCCCAGCAGGGGAGAGGAGAAGAAGACAGGCAGAGAGTAAAGGGAGAATGGCTGGGCTGCTAGAAAGCTGCCAGAGGCAGGGAAGGACCCAGTCCACAGGGGAACCCCAGGGGACAGACAACAGCCACTCCCACCATCCATCCCACTCCCAGTGACTATTACTTCCTGCCCAAAGCATCACAGGCACAGAAACAGGTGGCCATGATGCTTTGCGATGCAGAGGACCACTGACAACACGCTTACGATCACATACTTCGTACTCCTCTGCAAAGCCACAGTTGGAGTCAGCTTGCTGTTTCTTAAAATAAGCCTCGAAATTCTCCACTCGGATCAGCTTGGATCTGGGAAAACAAGGTCATTGATGAGACTCTGCCTCATAAATTTAAAGTAGAAAAAATACCAATTGTAAAAGAAAAATAAAGAGGTGACTCACTTTTTCGGTCTTCATCACAGAAAGGGAAAGAAAAAAAAAAAAAACAAGCAATTAGAGAGACTTGTTCGATTGGGAAGAAAACACATTTTTCCAAAAACAAAAGCAGATCAGAATTAGGAGGAATGGGCAAGAAGGGAAAGGATTCGGGTAGCGTTATTCCTAAGACACTGAAACACGCCTTGGCCACCCAACTCGACTGGCCTGACTTTCAGCAGGTTCTTCTGTCCCCTTAGTTTTTGATAACTCATTTTTAAAATAATAATAAGCTATCGTATACACACTTATCTGATAGCATAATAGTAAAATATGGCGAGGGAACCAGAGGAGACTAATCAAATACAGATACAAAGACTCTTATGAAAACCAGAGCTACAGAGACCACCCAGATGACCAAGACTAAATGTGTCACTCCAGAAGAACAACATCAAGCACCGTCCAAAGTGTTCTAGATAATCTTCAGATAAGGCTCTTAACCCCAGGGACTTACTTAATTTGTGAAAAGGACACTTCGTTGTTCTTTGCATCTTTCCTGTTTTGAAAGAAAAGAGACTCATTAGATTAAAAAAAAAAAAACAAAAACACACACAGGTGCACTCTGTTCTACTCCTCCATCTGTCACCCTTTCCTGGAAGTCAGTTCCTAATACAACACCTTGCTCAAAATGCCAATACACAAAGTGGTTCAAGCAACAAACTCATCCTACCTTCTGCTCACACCACTCTGTGACCTAAGCAGAGGGGCCGCCGCCCATGACACTGCCATCTCATGCCAGAGCACTGGTTTGAGTCCCAGCTGCCCAACTTCGGTTCCTGTGAATGTGCGTGGGAAAGCAGCAGCAGCTGGCTCAAGTACCTGAGCCTTTGCTCCCACGTGGGAGACCCTGATGGAGTCCCTGACTCCTGACTCCCGGCTACTGGCTGCTTAGAAAATGAACCAGCAAACAGAAGAGATCTCTCTCTTACCTCTTCCTTCCCACTGTGTCACTCTGCCTTTCAAATAAATAAATAAATCTTTAAAAAAAATCGAAAAGAACGAAAGAATCTACCTCAGTGGTATTACCCTACTTCTGAGAAAGTTCTCTGATAAGCAAACACAATGAATGAGTGTTAATGAGGCACTTGCACACTCCCTCAATGTTGACTAAATTCCAGACTATTAGAAAAAACCTTCCTGGGTGGCAATTCGGCAGCAGGTGTCAAATTGGCACCATGCTCACCCTGACCCAGCAAGTGTCCAGTACACAATCTGTTTCAGAGGGGAGCTGTGCAGATAAAATAGCTAATTCTAAACTGAAACCTCTTAACGCTCTGATGCAAAGCCAGTTTGTGAACCAGCGCATGCCACTTGAAAGGGCATCCTATAGTACAGTGTCCACCATGAGCCATGCAATGGCTGAAATTGGCTTTACAACTGTCCAGGGAATACTGGGAACATGCAAATTCCTTATACTGCTCACTCCAATACTGGGGATTTCGAAATTTTCCAAAATCATAAACTTCCTTAAAAAGCGCAGATTGAGGCCAGCATGGTAAAACAGCTTATTAAGCTGCTGTTTGGGAAGCCAGCATCCCGACACACTAGAGCAATGGTTTGAGTTCCCACTGCTCCACTTCCATCCCAGCTTCCTGCTGAAACACCTTAGGAAGCAGCTGATGGCGGCTCAAGTGCGTGGGAGATTCGCCTAGAGTCGCTGGCTCCTGATTTTGGTCTGACCCAGTTCCAGTCATTGTGGCCACTGGGAAATGAGCCAGCAAACAGACGACCAGAAGACTTCTCACTCGCTCTCCTCTCTCTCAAATAAAAACAATTAACATCTTTTTTTAAAGCATACAGGATTATTATCCACAATAACAAAAGCAGGTCACCTTTTCTTTCTCCAAAAGATGAAGCCTCCCACGGCCACAATAACCAGGGCGCCAAAGATACATCCAAACACCGCTCCGCAGATGACCCCTGGGAAAAGTCCAAGCCGAAGCACTTGAGGAGGTGTCCACCTAGGACCCCATGTCACACCCATAATCAGCCCAGCCCTCACACAAGAGGACTCAGGTAGACACACAGAGTTAAATGGCTCTGGACCTGTACCAGTCCAGGCACTGCCTTCACAAACAATGGGATGAAGAAAATTACAGTTCCTCTTCCCATCTCCATTGACTCAAAGGCAAGGTTAGGAAGCTGGGCTAGACGGATGATCTCCCCACTGCCATGGATGAGCTGAAGTCCCCACAGCATCATGCTCAGCCACAGGACACCCACCTGCTTCCTGGGGGAGCTGGACTACCCAAATCTGCTTGCTGTGACTGGAACCCTTTCCCGCACTGAACAACCACCAAATAAACTAACAAGGCAACTGGTCCTGGGGCCACTTGACAAGGAATCAGTGACCTTAATTCCAGGCCTGCCCCTCTACCACTATGCAATCTATGGAAAGTTACTTTCCATCTCTGGGCCCAAACACCTTCTTTCAAAGAGGCACGTTACACAAAACAGGTCTGTGGCTCTCTCTCAAGGATTCTATACACTCAGAGTCACTCTGTCTACAAATGACTACCCTGAGAAAAAGGACCAAATGTGTGCCAAGTGCAGGTGCACTGGGACTCAGGGGGGCTGGAGGCTTTGGGGGTCCTCAGAGGAGGAAGCAGAACAGAGCGCTCGTGAATAACATCTCTGCTTCCAAGAGGAGACAGCTGGGGCACCCCAATCCTACCCATGGGTCCTGGAGAGACATACAGACACACAGCCTTGTTTTTCTCCTACCTGGATCCTGGGGCAAGAACACAGCATCGGAATAGCGGCTGAAGGACACGTAGCTCTCAGCCCCGTCGATGAGGCCTTCGTGGTGAGGGATGAAGGTGATGTTGGTGAAACCAGCCACGCAAGCCCTGGGGGATAACCAAGGGCTCAGAGAGGCTGCTGAGACAGGGCTACGGCCACCACACACACACACACACAGCCTATGCTCCTGGGGCTCAGCCACACCCCATCCCAGCCACACGTTGTTACCGGTAGGATCCCAGGGGTTCCAGCTTTCCGTTGTAATAGCCCAGGGTCATAGATTCATTCCCGACGTCAATCTCATATTTCAAGACTTCAGACAAGCCTTGAGAACGTCCCCTCTCGTCTGTCCTTATGAGGTAGGTGACGTACGTATCCGAGGCTCCCTTTTTGAAATCATCATAGGTGTATTTCAACACGTCTGTGGAAGGGGGGCCAGCTAGGAGCGGCACACAGAAGGGAAATCGTAAGAGACCACAACGCCAGAATCCGTCTCTCCCACCAGGCAACAGCGCCGCGAGCCGCCACCCTGCGGCATCTCGCTAAGCCAGGCTCTGTGTGCATCGAACTCTAAACACCATGCCACTTCCGTAGATTCATCCCAGCACCACAAGTCCCGCTACATAAGTGAACTGTCTACCGCACACCCAGCAACAGGAAGGCACAGAAAGCTAACTACCTGACTTGAGCTCCTCACCACCCTCACGGTGAACTGGGATCCCTAACCCAGACCACCTCGCCCACGGCCCATGGCCTCATTGCTCACAGGTGGGGACAGGTCAGCCAGAACACCATACAAACATCACCTCCCTCCTGGTTCAGCAAACATCTGAACTTGGAAAATCTGCTGAAAACCATCCCAGCAAAAATGATGAAGAGCCTGAAACAGACCCAAAACAAACACACACAGGCGGGTGGGCGTCGAGCTTCGCACTGAAGCTACTGATTGGGACGCTCCTGCTCCTAAATGCAATGCCCAGCTCCGCTCCAGATTCCACATTCCCACGAATGCAGACCCCGGAAGGCAGAGGGGACGGTTCGAGTGACTGGGCTCCTGCCACCCACGGAGGAGGCCTGGACTGAACGGCTAGCTAGCTCCCAGCTTCCACGCCAGCAGCCTCTGTGGTCATGTCAGGGGGTGAACCGGCAGACAGAAGAGATTTCTGTCCCCATCCTCCACCTCTCGGTCTCTCAAATTAAGGAATAAATATTAGAAAAGAAGAGAGGGAGAGGAAGACCCCCGCCCCAACATCTCTCTTTGCACTCTGGCAGACAGATGGCAATGCCCTTCCTCCTGGCTCCCCCAGCAGTCCTGGGAATGTGTGCGCTCTCTTCCTTCACCTGCCTCAAGAACATGAAGATGGCACCACAGGTGGAAACCTGGGGCAGACATGGGCCCTTGCTGCCCACCTCCAGTGTAGAGAATCGCCAGGAAAAAACATGCAGGCCTGTGCTGCATAGTACTCACACGCAGCTCTCAGATAAACCCAGGACCAGCCCTGTGGCATGAGAGGTTAAGCCTCTGCCTGCCATGCATCCCAGATGGGCATCAGTATGAGTCCTGGCAGCTCCACTCTCAATCCAGCTCCCTCCTTGGGGTCTAGGAAAGCAAGAGGGGATGGGCCAAGTGCTCAGGACCTGCATTCACGTGGGAGATCCAGAAGAAGTTCCCAGCTCCTGACTTTGGACTAGCTGAGCTCTGGCCATTGCAGCCATTTGGGGATTACACCAGCAGATGGAAGATTCTCTCTCTCTGTCTCCCTCTCTCTGTCTGTAACTCTGCCTTTCAAATAAATTAAATAAGTCTTCAAGAGAGAGAGGGAGATGTCCTTAACACATCCTCCTCTCACTGAAGACCAAAGCCCAGTGTGGATGGAAAAGAAGCCGTTAGCCCACCTCCCCTCTCAGACCGCAGGGACGCCCTGTGCGAGCTCCCGCCAAGCATTCCAGATCACTTTCTGATTTAAGAGAAAACCATTCTCTGAGGATGCGATGTGCATGTGTGTATGAGAGAGAGCTAGACACACACACATTCTGCTCCCCCAGAAGACCATGTGTCGTCAAAAAGAAGGCAAGCCCAGGCTCGAGGCTGGAGAGCCACAGCCCGCAGGCAGGAGCCGGCCAGCAGCTGCTTTGTAAGCAGCCCTTCACAGGAGCAGCAGGCCCTTGGCGTATCTTCTGTGTCCGCTCTCCCACAGTGGAGAGGAGTGGAGTCGCTGCGGCAGAGCCCATGAGGCCTGCAGAGCTTAAGACACCTGCTATCTAGCTCTGGAGATCAGGTGTGGAAAGCCCTGCTGTAGCTGGTCAGTAACAGAGTGGGGTGGCGTGCGCAGAGAGCTCTGGCCTGGAACCTCAATGGCCACAGTAGGCACGGGAGTGTTCCCAGCCTCAGCACCACTGTCTGTCCTGGCTGTGTGACCATCAGGGGTCCCTCTTTACCTGCGCCCGTGGTGAGAATGATGGCATAGGCTTTGATGGGTCCGTGGCTGGCTTCAAACCCACTGAACTTGACCTTCACGGAATTGTGACTGACAGATGTAATATTAGGAGATCCATCTGGAGCAGGGGGGTCTGAAACAAGGCAAAACAAAACCCATTGTCTGATACTCAGTACCAAAGGAGCAGGCAATTTATCAGAGAAGAATCACGATGGAAAACAAACCCCCAAAGGACCTCCTGGAGACCTGCCCTGACTCCGGAAGGCGCCTGCTGGGCTGGCACAGTACATTCATCAGGGTGACAATGGGTACGTCACACAAAGGGCCTCATCACTCTGCCCCCTACCTTTGTGCATTTATGAACATTTCTATTTAATGCAGCAAGAAAACTTCCTTCATAAATGAAAACACAGCTGTTGCTCTCTGAAGCAAAGGACCCTTTTAGAACTTAAATGTGAGTCCCTCTTATTCTGCTTTGTTTGACTGGGTTTCTACAAAACGGGATGCCCATCTACGCCAATGAAAGCAAGAATTTTAGCGCAGATTTCAACACCACACCTGCAGACCCACTGGGTCACTCTCTCCGGGGGTGGCCACACTCCTGCCAGGCGGCTCACCTGTGATGCCGGTAGTGCAGGTGTTTTGGGTGGCAAGTGCCATCTTTCCACAGGACAAGGTGGTGACACTAATGTTGTACGAGGCAGAGAAATTCAAAGACGTGACTTCCTTCCTGTACTCAGTGTCATTCTCGGATGAGCAACCCTCCAGATGTGTCACATTCTTCCAGGCATCACTGCTGACCTCCAGCTCAAAGCCCTTGTTGATGCCAGGAGGGCAGGCCCATTTCAGAACCAAGGCTGGTTTTTTGGGAACCACTTCACAGTGGACAGCAGCCACTGGTGCAGCGTCTGCAAAGCGAGCAGAGTGTCACGTGAGACCCCAGGACCCTCACTTCTGCAGACCTGAAACACAGGGAGCAGCAGGAACTGCCCACCTAAAATGAGACAAGCCAGGTGGGATGGTCACCAATGGGACCCCTAGAAGAAAACAGGGCCCCAAGACCTCTGCAACCTATGGGATCGGTGAGGCTCACACTGGCCCATTGTGCAGGAGAATCCACCAAGGCTCAGAGAGGTGAAGGCATCTGCTAAAGATGACAGTGCTGCTAAGTGAAAAGCCAAAACTAGGTTTTCCAAGTAAGTCCCAAGTGCAGGGCTCTTCCTATACATCCAACATGCTGGATGATGAGCGAATTGCAAATGGTCTCAGTTCCTTCACTCTTTCTGTGGTAGCTGGAAGCAGGTGTTCAGCTTCATGGCTAAGAGGCTCTCATCCCACATCCCAGCTCCAGCTTCTGGCTCCAGCTTCCTGCTCGCAAACCCAGCAGACAGCAGATGATGGCTCAGGTGGCTGAGTCTCTACCACCCAGCTGGGAGAGCTGGATCCGGCCCAGGCTCCAGGATCAGCCAGCCCCAGTCCCAGCTACTGCCAAGCATTTGCAGACTACACCAGTACATGGGGATGCTATATCTGTCTCTCTCTCACCATCTCCCCTCTCTTTCCCATCTACAACGGTCAATTAAAACTTGCTGAAAGACAAAACAATGAAGACATCAGGACAGCATTAATAAGTCACTAATAATAAGCCTCCGTGAGCTGAGGATCTATTAGTACCCATGAAATTTAACAAATTACAGTCTGGCAAGGTCACTGTCATGGAGGAAGGTGTCCAAAAGGCACCTGAAGCTACTCACCTGTACAGAACGACTCCGTGCCAGGGGTTGATGACTCGGTCAGATTCCCCACTTGTGTAAAGATCTCTACTGTGTAGGATGAGCCAGGGATTAATTCAGTGATGGTGGCGGAAGTGACTTCAACAGTCTTCACTATCTGCGTTGTGTTGCTTGAGCTTTCAACCTCCTCAATGACAAGGCGATAGGAGTACGTGGCAGAGGCCGCATCCAAGTTCTCCCACGTCAAGGTCACAGCTGTGGTGTTGATGCTTATTTCAATTTTGGACACACTGCTGGGTCCTAGGTTTAAAATAAACAAACAAAAAAAATACCAAGTAAAATTACAAATCCCTTTCAATGCCAAGATTCTTATATTTACTGTATCCCAAAGCAGCCTGGTATCTCTTGCAAGGAATGAATAAAGTTACCATTTACTGGACCAAATGATAGAAGCTTTCCCAAAAAGAGATTCCAGAAATAAATCCACAGACTAAATCTTAAAAGAATGAAAAATGTTCAGGCTTTTTTTTTTAATATTTCAAGCTTATCCAAAATATGTTCTTCAGATAAAATTTCCAAACTATCTTTTTAATTTGATGAAAGAGAAAAATTCAGATACTAAAAATAGGTTCTGAGCTAACGTCTCTACCCCGTATTTAGTTCAAACGCCAGCCAAACACCTCCCTCCCGATGGCAAGCAAAGCTGTTCTCCCATGCAAGATCTCCTGATGCCAACACGGCGAGGCGACTCGCTCCTGGCAGGGATTCCCAGGAACGAATTCTCCACGTGCGCGGAATCACTCTGTGCTTCCAAAGACCACTTCAAGTTCCCAGAGCTTCGACAGCAGTGTCCATAAGCACGGCAGCAGCTGAAGCCTCCCACTACGGCAGAGACTCACGTGTGTACTGGGAGATGGAGCCCGGGTCCCCCTGCGCATGGCTGGCTTTTGGAGAGATGGTGATGTTGTACAAGGTGCCTGGGACCAACCCTCCAAGAGTGATGGCTTTGTGAGAAGTGTTGGTTCCATTAAAGCCATGCTGAGACTGTAGCAACACATGGTAGATGTAATCGGAGGCGTTGTCTGTGTTCTGCCACTCCAGCCGTATTTCAGTGGTAGTGACGTCAACCACGCGAATGTCTGACACTGCACTGCGGACTGGTGCGGGGCAGGGAAGCAGGAAGGAACCTGTTAGTGACCCTAGGGATGTCCAGCTTAAGCACCTGTCAAGAGATCTTACTCTTTTGCCATCTAACTCTCAAATGAGTTCACCAAGGGCAAGCTCTGTCTGAGAAATACACACACCTACATACAGTTTTTTCAACAACTTTGGCTCATCCCAGACACGAAAGATGTATCCATTATCTTTCTCGTCCCCTGAGCTCTTGCCTCCCACTCCAGGGATCACCCAGAGTGCAGATCACCTACAGTTTCTGGGTCAGGGTGCTGGAAACCATTTATGCTCAATTTGTGAAAATGCATCATACTATGCTGGAGGACAGGTGCTCTCTGTGTACAGAGTTTGATGCGTTTCTTAGTCACTCACTAAAAACATCCCCGACCCCAGGGCACAGCCTGGCAGAGAAAGAAAGCGGAAATGACCACGTTGAAGCAGTTGATTTCACGTGAGCAAGGCGAGAAGGCACACAGCCTTCCACTCTGGGAGTGGAAACTGGGAGTTGGAAGTGAAGTCAGCCCCAGGAGTCTGGGCTGCGATCATCTCACACGTTCTAGCATCTGTGATGTGAATCCATACATCCAGACCCAAAAACAACAAGGTGGTAAATTTCTGGAGGCCAGCAAGGTGGCTCAATAGGCTAATCCTCTGCCTGCAAATGCTAGTGTCCCATATGGGCACTGGTTCATGTCCCAGCTGCCCCACTTCCCTTCCAGTACCCTGCTTGTGACCTAGGAAAGCAGTAGAGGTCAGCCCAAAGCCTTGGAACCGTGCACCAATCTGGGAGACTCTTGGCTCCTTGGCTTCGGATCAGCTCAGCTCTGGCCATTGCGGCCATTTGAGGATGAACAAGGATCTTTCTGTCTCCTCTCTGTGAATCTGCCTTTCTAATAAAAATAAATACATATTTTAAAAACTCTCCTCATGTGGCTAAGGTTGTGGCACATGAGGTCAAGCAGCTACCGGCAATGCTGACAACTCGTGTAAGAGCCAGCTGGAGTCCCTGCTGCTCCCTGCTGAAACACTACAGCAGCAGACAAGTTGAGTACTTGAACCCCTGCAATGCATGTGGGAGACCTGGGTAAAATTCCAGGCTCCTGACTTTAGCATGGCCTCAACTGGCCATTGTGGCCACTTGGGGATGAACCAAGATAAAAGATTCTCTCTCTCTCTCTCTCTCTCTCTCTTTATTTCTCCTTCCTTCTTTTCCTCCTTCTTTCTTCCTCTTTTTCTGTAACTAATTTTCAAATACACAAATACATCTTAAAAATAAATAAAATAAACCCTCTTCGCTTTACGCAGTAACCAGGTCACCTCCAGGCAGATAAACTGGGGGCTTGGACAACAAGAAAGGGAAACTAAAAATCTTCCGTATTGCCATGAACATGTGCATTCTATTCCCAAACTGGCTACTTCTGACACTGAGTTCCCCTTCAAGGAGCAGACTGCACCTTCTTTCCCTATCACCTGACTCTTGGCATCAAAGGGATTCCACACGCAAAAGCCCGTGAAAGGCAGCCTTTTTCTACAAGCTGAGAACTGTGAACAACAAGGGGAAGACTCTGTAACCTCATTCAGCCACGTGAGGAGGCATTCTGCTGCATTCATCAAAAATATGAAAACCTCACTAAGGAAGAGGGAAGACACATGGAGGGAGTTGAAAAAAATAACCCTCAAACACAAAACAATGTTATCTGTCCACAGGCAAAGAGAGAGCAGAAACCCTACTGGAGCATTATTTGTTGCTGTCTTTCTCTCTACTGTGATAGAATGCATGTAGCCAACATTTACCATGTTCCCTATTGGTCAGCATATGATTCAGTGATCCTACAATTCACAATGTGGTACGACCATCACCACCAACATAAGCCCTGTGCTGTCAAACAACTGTTTCACTTCCTCCCCCAGTCCCTGGGCCCTCCATCTTACTTCCTGTCTCGATGAACTTGCCTGTTCTGGGTAACCCACGTCAGTAGACTCATACCATCTATTTGTCCTCTCTGTCTGGCATTCCTTCATCTGGCCAAATAACATTCTATCCTATGGACAAACCACGTTTTCTCTTACTTGTCCATCAACTGACCCTTGGTTGTTTCCACCTTTTGGCTATCGTACTCTGCCCTACATTGGTTTGAGATCCCACTTTTGCTTCTGAATATTTCACTTCTGCTTCCCCTTTTTCAAAACTGCTTTTAATGCTTCCAGACGTTCCCCCCGCCCCAATAAGAAAGACAGCTATTCAATACCAGAAAGTTAACCCTTTGAGTTTAGGGCCTTACCGCAGCCCTTCATGACTTGTATTCAATGGACCCCAGCCACAGCACAAGAGACCCTTCTCCTTACGCACACAGAGCTACTCTGGAGCTGCACCATGTCACTGCACCAGCCCACGTGCCTGTCAAACCCTCCATCTCAGAAGCCAGATCACTGCCTGTCATTCCTACTCTACTACAAAGATGACAGCAGTACCTACTCCACAGTTTATAAAGTTAGGCATCTCAACTTGTGAAATACCATGAACCAAAAGTTATCAGTGACAAGATCTGACGGAAAGTTCACCTGCGGTATGTTTCTATTTGTATTACATAGAATGAATATGAATACTGGCATCATAAAACTCTGTAAGATTTTTCTTAGATAACTCAGAAATAGTATTTAGAAAGCCTGCCGTTTACACATAATGTTGATTTTCTTTAAGAAACATCACCACTGGACAGAAATCCCAGCTCACGTGCTTACCAGTTGTACAGGAAACATCCTGTGGGTCCCCTTCAGTCCCATTTGGTCCTTGTGCAACTATTTCAAAGACATAGTTGGTCCCAGGATTTAAGCCACGGATGGTGATGTTCTGGTCGGTGGTGTTTTCCACCCAGAGCAGTCCAGCTCCATCACGTATGATAGAGAGCTTAAAGGACTCGGAGTCATTGCTGCTCCAGGCTAGGCTGACCTCTCTCATGCCGACACTCGTCACTCGGAAGTCAGACACTGGACTAGGCACTGTGGGAAGAAGTGAATTAATGAGACTCAGAATCACTTTCCAGCAGACCAAGCTGACCAACACTCACAGAACATTTACACAGAGAAGAAATGCAGACTTGGGAGAGCTGATCTTTTCCTCCCACCCCCCTCCCTCCCTTGTATCACCACTTGAAATTGGCATCCCTCAGAAACTAGCATTGCTGGCCATGCAGAAAACACGTGGCCTCCAAGTACAAACACTGGGAGCTTAAGCCGTGCAAAGCCATCCACAGGAAATGAGAGAGAAAGCCCCATGCCAAAGACCCGGGTTCTGGAGTTAAACTTTGGCTGTTTCTGGATGTTTGGCCTTGGATACACGATTAAATACTCCCAGAGCATCTTAAAGGAGGTGCAACAGAGGATGCGGTTGACCCAGAAAATCCACTGCTCCTCTTTCTTCAACATAGACCCCTACGTTTTCATCTGTGTGTACTGACTGTGGAGAAGAAAAAGACTATTTCCCAGCCTCCCTTGCAGCTTAATGTTACCATGTGACTAAATTCTGGCCATTGCAGGGCGAGCAGGAATATCATGACTTCTAGGACGTATCCTCAGAGGGTGAAGTTCCATCTGACGGCCCTGCTTCTGCAGTTGGAATGTGGATGTGACTTCTAGAGCTCAAGCTGCCTGGCTCCAGCACCAGCACCGTGGCAGTGGTCACTGTAGCCTCCTGACGCCAGTACCACAGTACAGAACCCACAGTGTTAGTCACACGTACACAGCGGCTTCATCCGGCCCTGCAATCTGAGCCTAAGGGTCATTTCTGGACGCTGAGCGTAAAGACTGGTCCCCAGCAGTGTGAGTTCTATTATTACCTTCCCAATTCCGCTCTTGAAATCCTAATCCCAATGTCTCAAATGATGACTGTCGGTGGAGACTGGGTCTTTAAACAGGTGACTGATTGAAAATGAAGGCCCCAGAGTGGGTAGGCCCTAGGCCAATGTGACCAGGTCCTTTTACAAAGAGATAAGGACACAGACAACACACTCATGGGAAGACGCTGGCGGAGGATGGCCATAGGCACACCAACAGGAGAGGACTGAAAACAGCACACCTGCTACAACCTTCACCTTGAACATCCAGCCTCTAGCACAGTTCCAGCTTCTGACAGAGTTGTGCTGTGTTGCTCTGCCAGTATTTCATGGAGACAGAGACTCCTTCCCACGGTAACTAACCACGAAGTCTCTGGCACTGAACATGGCAGTCGTAGCAATTAATAAACCAGCCGTTCCAATGAGCCAGTAAACCCTCAACTCCCTGAACAAATACCTCTTGGCTTCCAATTGCTCATGGATTTCCGTTTCCCGCGTCAGAATCCTGGCTAACGCCACCAGCCCCACCCTGCCCAGCTTTGCTTACATGAAAAAGAAACTCAACGTGCTACTCACAGCTAAGCCCTAATGCACAGACTGTAAAACCTAAAAAAGGAAAAGGTGATGAAAATAGATGTCATGTTCTCCAAGACGCCTGTAGGAATGTTGACAGAGTACTTCCGGGGAAACAACAGGCACTTGAGCATATATTGCATCCTTGTGGACCAGAGGCACCCAGGTTCAAGTTCCTGCTTTGCCACTTGTAAGCTCTGTAGCCCGGAGCAGTGTTTATCCTCCACTGAGCTGTGGTTTTATTATTATTATTTTTTAAGATCTATTTTGTTCTTATTGGAAAGCCATATATACAGAGAGGAGGATCTTTCATCTGATGATTCACTCCCCAAGTGGCCACAACTGCCAGAGCTGTGCCGATGCAAAGCCAGGAGCCCAGAGCCTCTTGCAGGTCTCCCACACGGGTGCAGGGTCCCAAAAATCTAAGTTGTCCTCTACTGCTCTCCCAGGCCACAAGCAGGCAGTTGGATGGGAATTGAGGCTGCTGGTACACGAACTGATGCTCATATGGGATCCCACTGCATGCAAGGCAAGGACTTTAACCACTTGTCTAGCCTACTGCACCAGGCCCATTTTATTATTCATAAGTGGGAATCCTAGGGGCCAGCACAATAGCACAACTCACTTGCAGCACCAGGATCCCATGTGAGTATTGGTTCACGTCCCAGCTGCTCCACTTCCCATCCAGCTCCCTGCTTGTGGCCCAGGAAAGCAGCAGACGATGGTCCAAGTGCTTGGGCCCCTGCCACCCACATGGAAGACTCAGAAGAGGATCCTGCCTCCTGACTTTCAATTGGCTCAGCTGTGGCCATTGAGACCATTGGGGAAGTGAGCCAACAGATGGAAGATTTTCCTTTTTGTTTCTCCTCTCTATAAATCTGTCTTTCTAGTAAAAATAATAAATCTTAAAAAAAAAAAGCCAGGGAGAGGGGAGTGGCGCATAATCCTAACACCTACCATCAGGTCCATTCAGCAGGGGTAAGCAGCCAGCACTGTGTGAAATGTACTTCTGGCTTTAGCACCATTACACAACTGCAGTGTTAACACACTGTCACTGCCCTGGCTCATACGATCAGGCCTTCAGAACAGAAAGCCTTTAACCTGCTGTCTATCGTGCTGAATAACACGTAAGCAACCAGAAGGTGAGACAGGGCTGCGCCAGTGCTTCCTTACAAGAAACAAGAGGGCCTTTCTCGTCTCCCTTTTATCAACCCACTGTGGACCCTTAGAACGGTCATTATTACAAACACAGCCCGAGGCCAAGAGGCCGCATTTCACCTGCATCACTTGCCAGGTGTGACACCTTCACACCTCCCCTCTCTCTGCCTTGGCCAGCCTCACCCAGAAAAGCAAGCTAATGCCAGCTGCACGCAGACAGAAAATGCCAAGGAAATCCAAAGAGCTCAGCACCCCACTGGGGGATTGCCGTTATCACATCCCACACCCCAGGGGGGCTCTGAGTCCCGCACGCTGAGGCAGGCACTCCAGGAGGGCAGGAACAGCACTTCTTTGTCCTGCATCTGAGCCCTGGTGCAAGCACAGTAGCCAGAAAGCAAGGTTAGCCGCAGCGATGAGCAAACTCACGGGTGTACACTTGGAGAGAGCCTGGTGTGCCCGCAGTGTCACCCAGGAAAGGACACACGGTGATGTTGTAGAGGGTACTTGAACTGAGTCCAGAGATGACAGCACGAGTATCGTTGACAGTGACACTGAAGGACTCCATCGCACTAGCCACGTGGACCGTGTAGGTATAGGCAGAGTATGACCCATTGTGGCTGACGTTCCAGGTCAGGGTCATGCTTGTGGCACTGATGTTCGCAACTTCCATGTCAAAAACCTGGATAAAGTCTGTGAAGACACAAGAGGAGTTGAGGGACCATGGCAATGGCTCAACAGGCTATTTAATCCTCCACACTGCAGCACAGCATTCCATATGAACACTGGCTCATATAAGCACTGGCTGCACTACTTCCCATCCAACTCGCTGCTTGTGGCCTGGGAAAGCAGCAGAGAATGGCCCAAAGCCTGGGGACCCTGCACCCGCGTGGGAGATTCAGAGGAGAATCAGAAACTCTATCCTGATCTCCCATGTGGGTGCCAGGGCCCCAAGTCTTCAGGTTATCATCCTCTGCCTTGCCTGATACACGAGCTGGATCAGTTGTACAGCAGCCAGGACCCAAACAATTGCTCTGCTATGGGATGCCAGCATCACAACTGGTGGCTTAAGCCCACCACACCACAATATGGGTCCCCCAATTCACTGATGTGCCATGGCCTGGCCCCTCCAGAATCTCTTGTGAGAAAAACCCCTCCAACAACAAAACGAGTCACCGAGAAGCAGCGAGTCAGTGCTCGTAACTCAACTACAGCATCACGGAAGACGCCGCTCAGTGCTGGGAACCTCTGACAACCGCCAACAGAACCCAAGTCAACATACGTGTCTTGAATTTGACATCCTGTGACTGGCCTTCTGTGCCATCGGCTGCTTGAGGAAACACGGTGGCATTGTACAGAGTACTGGATTCTAAACCCAGAAGAAGCACTTTCACATCTGATGGGTCCACAGGTTCAAGGTACTCTACAGTCACAGAGGCTGTGGGGCTGCTGCGTGGTGAAGGCAAGCTCTCGCCCAGGGGTCTGTCCGTGCTGTTGGCTTCTGGGTGAAACACAGGAGGAAAGACATGAGCAGCAAGATGAACACATGTCCCTGTTCTTTCAGCAGCCCCACCCCAACAGAGAACCCATCAGACAGTGCCCACAGCTGGTATATCCTCCTCCTCCAGACACAGCTGCTGCCTGCCACAGCTGCAGCTCTCTGGGCAGTGTTCTTCCAGCAGAATCATGCTTCCCACACCAACTCCACTGTTTTGCATCATTCTCCCCTCCTTGGGGCATTATAGTCTCCCTCCCCAATGCGGTCCCCCAGGGAAAGCTCCAGGACTCCAACTCTGCCAAGGAAATGTTCCCAGGCTGGTAGGGCAATTACAAAAGAGATGGTTGGTAGATGCTGCTCCTGGGGCCACTGGGACAGAGAAGACACTACACCGGGGGATGCAGGAGGTAGAAATGAGAGCCCCCTTCCCTTTAACACCTGGCTGCCTGGAGAGGAACACTGAGCAGCCGGGAAGCCTCCTTCACAATCCAAACCACTTTGTGTGTTTTCTGCCTCCTGTGCTAAGAATCCACTTCGTAGTTCTGCTTCCTTAGAAAGTGGCACCCCTTCTCCCCAACTCATGGGCTTCGGGACAGGGACTCACTGAAAATTCCATGTCATTTGCAAATGATGGCTCCAATGTCAACATAAACTTGCTGGATCTGGCAACCAAGCACCCTTGCTCTCAATGGGTGTGCCAAGTCCTTCCGATGGCTTGGCCTGGGTTAACACATCTGTTATTTCTTGGACTGAAAATCAAAAAGCTATCGGGCTATCTGATTTCTTGGCTGTCCCACTGCCACTTTGAGTCCCATGCACTCACTCTTAAAATCTGAACATTTCCCTTGACCTTAGACAGGTGTGGCAGCTAACCAAAGCATGGAGGAAGAGCCTTCTATAAATGCTAAAATCCTGCAAAACTATAACCCAGTGGTTTTTTTCCACTCCTAAGTCACTGAAAGTGTGGGAAGCACAGTTCTGTGACTCACCCGGGCCACCTTCTGAAAGCACAGGGTCATTCTGTGTCTCGTTGGGTTCTGGTACACGCCAGGCGACTCTGGGTTCAAACCCTGACTTCAGATCTGAAATGTTGACCACAGGGTCTGGAGTCGAATTACCATGCATCCCGTAGCTTTGAAGGAATACCCGGTAGGAGGCGGTGGCATTGTGATTGTTCCAGCTCAGAGTAGCCTGGGTCACACCCACGGAGACAACACGCAGTCCAGAAACTGGCTCAGGCACTATGATAAAAATACACGGCAGACTTGAACGGGACATGGTATTCGCAGACGCGCTAAGAGTCACTGTTCACTGATCCCTGCTGATTCAACGTGACCCTGTAAGTAATGCTTCCCTCAGAACAGAGTTCGAGAACATTCCCCACAGAACTTCATCTCCTGCATCCCACACTTAAGGAGAACCCAAACTGACAAGCAGAAAACAGGATTTCTTGGGATCGGTACTACTCTGGAACTCCAACAGCAATGGGAAATTCTTCTTTTAAAATGTCTCCTCTTCTTAAACTTTTATTTATCTACCTCTTATTTGAGCAGTAGCGAGACAGACACATAGGGAGAGCTCTCAACTACTGACTTACTCCCTTCAATGTTCTTCACAGCGAGGGCTGGGCCAGGCCTCCATCCACGTCTCTCACACGAGCGACAAGGAGCCAGCTACTGGAGCTGTCACCTGTGCAGCCTCCCAGAGTCTGCAAACCCAGGCAAGACTCTCAAGCAACATCCTAACTACACCCACCCCAACAGGCACTTTTAAACAGTAGTATCTCACTGTATTTGCTTTGACATGAGTAACAAAGTTATCAATCAGGACTGGTCACTAAAACTGAAAGCCTCAATTGAAGATAATCCAAACAGTATCATCTTGTGACCAGGCTGTTTCAGCTAATGGTTAATTCATCATATGCCAATCATTGGGGCATTTTTCGAGAGCCTTTCCATCGACCCTACACCTTGGCCTGCCCTTTCATCCCTTCACTTGGCTGCTAGTGACAATTCAGCCAGAGTACCATTCCCCCTCCTCCTTCACTTCTGAGATGACAGCATGGAGCCCTCAAGCAGTCTTGCTTGAGAATACCCACTACTGGAACCCAGGGCTCCAGCTCTGAGCATCTAAAAGTACAGGTGGTGCTGCAGGCACAGCCACCACACCCCTCCCCCACCCCAGCTCTGCAGGTGTCTGGATGACAGGATGCCAGCCAAGGGGATGAGATGGCAGCCTCCAGATCATCCATGCATTCACTGATCCCACGCCTCCCATCATGAGTGGCGACGCAAAGAGCTCTAGGTGGAGTCACACTTCTGTGTCTGTTTTTAAAGGAATACAATAAATAACTCAATGGAATGACCATGGCTAACTGTCAGGAACACCACGGTACCACAGTGGTCTGCAGTAGAGCTCCCCTGGGCTCCAGTGTCTTCACCTGATGTGCCATGCTCTGGGATCTCAGAAGGAAGTGAACTTTTCCCCATGACAGTGTCCCCCCCACCCCGTTGTGTCCTTGCCACTAGCTGGCCTGATACCACGCTTCCTCAGCCCTTGTTCATTCAGGCCCTGGACTGCAGAAGGCCAGGCTTCTGTGGGAAGACCCCCTCCTCCCATCCACACACTCCAGTTGGAAAACCCACAGAGGACTTTTCCATTTCAGTACTTATCACCTAAAAAGGAGCATCTTGCCTAGTTTATATCTTTTTTTTTTAATTTGTTGCTTTTCAACTGTAAAAAAAAAAAAAGGAATAAATTAAATTTGCAGCACTAATGAGAGGCTTAGGGCATTGACAATTACGCTCAATTAAAATCTAAGCTGTCTAATCTTAATTAGACTCTAAATGTTATTGGGTCTTAAAACTTAATTCATTTGAAACATGCGTTCCGCTATGAAGAGAAGCCAACGTCCCTGCCCAGGGGAAACTCCTGGGAATTACATAACACACCATCAACTTCCCAGGGACTCTAAAAGGCTAGTAATGACTGACATCATCAAAACACATTTCCAACAAGTCCCCTTGTCCTGAGTCTTCAGCCCAACAGTAGGCATTAAGCAATAATAACAAAAGTTTTCAAACCAAACAGCTGGAAGTTATTAAGCCTTCCAAAAACACAAAGGAACCTCAAAACTGAATGAACAGGGCCACCTCAACTCCTGGGTTGAGAACAACAGAAAACCTCTCCTCCCCCGCCAGGCTGTGAAATCCAATTTCTCTCCAGCAGGCTCAGGAACTGACAACGTTCTAGGACAAGGTGTGCCTCATGAGTGTGCTGGGAAGCCAGGCATCTTACCTGTTGTGACATTTATAAGCACAGGGTGTCTCCCAGTTTTATTGCCTATTACTGAGTAGATGGAGAATCCGTATGACGAGGCTGGACTTAAGCCCGTGATGTTACACCTCGTCTGGTTTTTGTCAGTCACTGCCCACTCATTGTCCCTCTCATTCTTTATCCTATAGGTGTACTCAGAAGCTGCCGTGTCGTTGTTTTTCCAGGTTAAGATCACACTGGTTGGACTGACCGAAGCAACTTCAACGTCAAACACAGGACTGGGTTCTAGTGAAAAACAATTTTTAAGGAGAAAAATAAATGACATTTCACAAAGCAATACCCGATCCACTCCACACACCCGCTCTCCAGGCAGGAACTTCACACAGTACTTGCTCTCTTTATTGGCCTCCTAGACTTTCTGGCACCAGGACAGTTTGCTGAAGTGCAGAGATGGGATTGGTTATGGAAACACAGGCTTTAGAAGAGACGAAAGCTGGCCAGTGTTGGCTGTGACCGAGACAGGGAGGTACAGGCTGATACAAAGAGAGACCCAAGATGCAAAATGAATCTATCCCCCAATTCTCCGCAAACACGTCTCCCGGTGACGGCCTACGAGGCAGGTGAAAGTGGTAACTTTCTTTTGATAAATCCTTACATCAGAACACAGCTCAACAGTTTTTCTGACATAAAGATGACAAGGTGTAGGACAAGAAAAAACCAAAATGACTGGTCCATGAATCCAGATCCACCCCCAAAGACCTGCTCCACCTGTCAGCTGTGAACCTGGAATTAATCCCTTAAAATCGCCAGGACACCGGTTCTCCAGCTGGCAGGTCTAACACACTGTACTAAATAACAAGAATTACCACTAGCCATCATGATGTGATGAACAAGGATTTGGACATTTAAAAAAAAAAATCTGGGCTCACAGCCCAATCCTGTCCATCATCAGTTATGTAAGTTGATTCAAAATCATCTCACTTCCCTATATTTCAGTGAAATTACTGATTGCAGGATATTAAGCCAGTGGAAACCATTATGATTATTAAGATTATAGTTACAAAATGGATGCATCTTATTAAACTCAAGATTAAAGAGTAATAACCAGAAACAGAAAAAATAAAGCACAGGAGATGGATACTGCTCCATTGTGGTAAGATACATTGAAACTTGTTAAATTTGTGAAGACTGATTTTCTGGCCCAGCATCCATCGTGTCTTGCGAAATATTTCACATGTAGCTGAGAGAATGTGTGTCCTGCAGCTGGCAGATGGCGGGACTTGTAAACGCCTGCTGGCTCTGTTAGGTCTGGAATCCAATGCTTCCTTACCAAATTTCTGACTGGGCAAGTCTGCGCACTGCTCCGAGTGGGGTGTGGAGTGTCCTTCTGGTCTATGAATACTGAAATACAGAAAGATGGACGTCCCCAACCTTGGGTTGCTAAACTGAGCCCTTCACCGTTCTATCATGACCGTCCTCATCTCCTTATACAGTTTTTGACTTCAGGTTTCTCCAAGTAGAGCTCCTTTTGCTCCTCAGTTTCCTTTGCATGGCAGTTCTTGTTGCAGACCTGCACTTCCGGCCCTCCTGTGCCCTGACGGGCTGAGCGAATCTTTTGTAAGCAATATGTAACTGGATGCTTTCTTTTATCCTCTGAGCCATTCTATGACTTTTGATTGAATTATTCAATCCATTTATAATCAGGGTTATTCCCAGTTGCTGTGAGGAGGTCTTTTCTCCTTATTGTCTTTTTTGTGGCCAAGTATCTTTCTTTGGTGGTATCTTTTGACTTCTTGTGTTTAGTTTGTTTGTATGCTGTGCACCTGCTACAGGTCTTTATTCTGATTGTCAAAAGGCTTACCAAAAAGTCTTGTGACTGGTTACTTTGGTTGGTAATTTTGCTCTCATACGCACACAAGCCTACAGCTGTACTGGACTTCTCCCTCACATTGACTTTTTTGCGTAACTGTTTATTATTATTTTTTATAACATTTTTAATTTACATTATAGTCAAAGGCTTACCAGCTTTACTAAAAAAGAGTTCAACAGAAAAAAATGTGACAGACACCCTTCTTGAACCTGCGTGTGGATCCTCACGGAGAGGCCACGCCCACCTTCTCTCTATCACTCCAATTTCAGAATAGTTGCTGCCAAGCAAGACCCACAGAGAGAATTTATGTCTTTTTATACTAGATGTCCTTAACAAAATACTGTAGTTGCTACTTGCTATAATTTTTCATCTCCCTGCCAACAACATACGACGGTGGTTTTTACTGGGAGGACTCTGAGTTTATACACAGTTTCAGACTCTCAGATGTTTTCACAGTATTCATAATATCACGCTTCCTTTTGAAGCCCTCCCCGTGTCACCTGTTCTAGGACAGGCCTGGTCCTGATCCACTCCCTCGCTTTTCGTCTGGGAAAGCTGCACCAAGCGCAGCGTTCCGGACACCACACTGCCTCTCGTCTGTAAGCGTCGGGGCAGGAGGCTGCTGGGAGCACGCTGGGACTCCCTCGCACACTCCCTGCTGCCTTCTTGCTGCTGGAGGGTCCTCTCCTTGCCTCTGATTTAGGACGGCATGTGCTGGGTTTGACTTCTTTACGTTCAATAGGAATACAGACCTTTATATTTCGTGCACCTGGATCTTTGCATCTTTCTGCAGGTTTTGAAAGTTTTCTATTATTTCTTTAAACATGCTTTCCATCGATTTCTCTCTCCCTACTCTCTCCTGAACTTCGCTAATTTGAATATCCGCTCTTCTGATGCCACTCCCATAAATCCTGTCATTTTCTCCATTGCTTTTTACTGCTTCCTTTTTTCTCCTCCAGTATTTCCAATAACATACTCAAGCCCACAAATTCTTTTAAAGATAGATTTACTCATTTGAAAGGCAGAGTTACAGAGAGAGGGGGGGATGGAGGGGAGAGAGAGAGAGAGAATCTTCTATCCACTGACTCACTCCCCAAATAGCTGTAATGACCACGGCTGGACCAGACCAAAAGCTGGAGCCAGAAATTTTTTTAAGTTTCCTTCGTGGATACGCAAGGGCCCAGGGAACGTATGACACCTGCCACTGCTTTCCCAGGTGCATGAGCAAGGAGCTGGATCAGAAGTAGGGCAGCCAGGCCTCTAATTGGGACCCACATATGACTTGCCAGGGCTACACAGGCTGTGTCGCAGCACTGGCCCCCCTAAAATTCTTTCTCCTGCTTAATTAATTCTGCTTTTTACACACTCTACTGCAGGCTTTTTTTAACTCACTGAAAGCTATGAATTTTCACCATCAGAATTTATCATTTAATCTTATTATAGCTTTTATTTATAATCACGTTTTCCTCATTTCCTTGAATTGTTTTCCTGTATTTTCGTGAACTACGTTGAATTTTCTTAAGAGAATAACTCGGGGGGCTGGGACTATGGTGTAGTGCATTGAGCATCTGTCTGTGGCTTCAAGCATTCCATCTGGAGCCAGCAGCGTGGCACAGTGAGTTGAGGCATCAGTTCAAGACACAATTGTGCCACTTTAGTCCAGCTCCCTGCTCATGTGAGTAGGAAGGCAGTGGAAGCCAGCCCAAATCCTTGAGTCTCTTCATTCACATGAAGACCCAGAGAAGGCTCCTGGCTTCAGACCAGCCAAGCTCCAGCCATCTCAGTCATTTAGGTGAGACATAGGGAGGCAGAAGGAAGCAGACTACAAACTCCCATGTGCGAGATGACTTCAGTGTTCGTAAAAGAAAAAGCGTGTGTGTGTGTGAGTATATGTGGGCATATCTTAAAATTGCAAAATATCATACCCCAAAAGCTATCGATGACTGCATCTCTGGTTGACAGCTTACGCAACTTTTTCAATTCTCACTTAACTGTATTTTATGTACTAAAAATGCAGCATTGTTGTAACAAAAGTTTTAATATTTTTCTTAGATAACTCAGAAATAGTATTTAGAAAGCCTGCCGTTTACACATAATGTTGATTTTCTTTAAAAAACATCACCACTGGACAGAAATCCCAGCTCACGTGCTTACCAGTTGTACAGGAAACATTCTGTGGGTCCGCTTCAGTCCCATTTGGTCTTTGTGCAACTATTTCAAAGACATAGTTGGTCCCAGGATCTAAGCCACGGATGGTGATGTTCTGGTCGGTGGTGTTTTCCACCCTGAGCAGTCCAGCTCCATCCTGTATGATAGAGAGCCTAAAGGAGGAGTTGGAGCCATCGCTGCTCCAGGCTAGGCTGACCTCTCGCGTGCTGACACTCGTCACTCGGAAGTCAGACACTGGACCAGGCACTGTGGGAAGAAAGGGAGGGACTGCGGTCACACACTCTGCGGATGGTGGGACTGACCAACCCTCCCAAAACATGCGCAAGGCGAGGAAATGAACCCCGGGGACAGCTGCTCACTATTTCCCTCTTCTCTGCATCATCACGCACAGCACGAGTCCCTCCGAAAGCAGCGCCGCTGGCCACGGAGAGAGCAGCTGGCCTCAGAACTGCAGGCCCCCCGGGGACACACATTTGAGATGCCAGTTAGAAGGCTCCCATTGCAGGGGCTGGATTTGAGTTCTGGTTCCACTCCTGACTCTAGCTTCCTGTTAACGCACATTTTGGAAGGAACAGGTGACAGCTCAAGATGTGGGCTCTCTGCCACCCCACATGGGAGACCAGGATAGAATTCCCAGCTCCTCGCTTGTACCTGGTCCAGCCCTGGTCAGTATCAATCAGCCAACAGGATCTCTCACTCTCTCTTTCTGCCTCTCAAACAAAACAATTAAATAAATTTGCCTTTTTAAAATAGGAGTGCAGACACTGGGGTTTAAGTTGCACATGATCCAAGCCCATAGCCAAGAGCTTATGCTCTGGAGTCCTACTTGGCTGTTCCGGGCTGCGTGACCACGAATGCATTAGTAAGCCTCCCTGAGTCTCTCTTTAGAGAGCTGGAACAGAAGATGCTGTTAGCCGAGTTCCCACCTTTCCTTCCATCGTGTACCTCTCAGAGTGTTACTGTGGGGAAAGTCTAAATGCCCCAGCCTCCCTTGCAGCTAGATTCAGCCATGTGACTGACTTCCAGCCAACCCAGTATGAACAGAAGCACTGCATGACTTTTAGGAAATATCTTCTTAAAGACTGGAGCTCTGCTATTGGCTTCCCACCTTCCTGTAGCCAGAATACGGATGTGACAGGAGCCTGACTCCAGAGCCAGCACTGTGGTGCAGGCTGCAGCTTCGTGGTCCCGGCTTACGGCACCTGCTCTTGGACCCAGTGAGGACAGCACAGGTTCCTGACTGCTCAGGCTGCAGTCTGTGCCAAGAATGGCACCTGAGCTGGCCCAGTCGGGCAGCCACTTCTGGGAGGCACGCATCATGCCTGTTATCGTGAATTGCATTGCGTTCCCCAATCATCTTCAGAATCTGATTGATTTTAAAGTGGTTAAAGTGGTTAAAGTGGTTAAGTGGTCTTTCAAGTTGTAACTAAGTTAACATGAGTCACCTGGGAGGACCCTAACCTGATGTGATTGTCTCCTTACCCAGAGACAAGGACACAGATAACACACGGGCTGAAGGTCCTCCGTGGGAAGTCCCGGGGGAATACAGCCTCCTACAAGCCAAGAGGAGACCCAATCCACCCTATGCTGACCTCTCAGCTCCAGGCCGCAGCACTGCGCGAGAGCTTTCTGTGGAACCCAGTAGGGCCGCCCTGGCCGCCTCACATGTCACCCTTCCATGGAGCCCATTACTCCCAAGCCCCAGGTCAAATCTGCCAAGAGCCCTAACACGCCACCACCTCCAAGGTAAGTCCACCCAGGGCAGCTTGTTCTGCCTGAAGTATCTACCCTCTGATTCTGGGGACATGCCTACTGTTGGCACAGCTTTGTAGAATCACTGTAATTACCTCCTATTTGCTTACTGGAGGTTTCAGCGGGATGTGCCTCCTTTACACGGCACCCTGAGAGCAATTTCTATGGGTCACAGATTTTCATCTTTTTCCCAATAGAAAAAAAGGGGGTTATTTCCAAATGTGAGGGACAAATAAAAGCTACCAATGTTTTTTTTTTTCCCAGAGATAAATTAGGAAAAAAAAAAAAAAACTACTATTGTCTCTATTTCCTGAAGAAGCATTTTATAACCAAAACATTACTAAATTCCAGAACGGGTGCTGCTTTCAACTGAATGCTCATAAACTGGCTTATCTTATCCGAATTGTTCTTATTTCAGTACACACCCAGAGCTCATCAGCAACCGACATTCAGTCCTTGGCATGAAAGCAGATGGCAGTGTGAGGTCCCCTCTGGCTTTCCAGAGGTGACACAAACCCAATAACTTGTATTCTCAAACATAGCAGCCCAAGGACAACGAAGCAACACGAGCAAATACTTACAGGAAACAGCCCACAAAATATATTTTAAAAATAAAATAATGTATGACAGCTTCCATTAAGTTAAATCACCCATGGATGTGAGTCAGGGATAAAGAGTCACAGAAAATGCCAAATTTTTAATATATCAGGAGTGCACAGTTGATTGCTTTTTCTTTCTGCCCATGAGCTCTTAAATGGAAAGGACGCAGCTTTCAACCAGTGAGCATTTCCCATGATGTTCATCTAACCAGTCATGTTGCTTTGTGTCCATTAGGGGGCAGTCGCAAACAACGCAAGAATGAAGGGAAGCGGTACTCACCGGCACCTGCGCACGGGATCTGTAACAGAAACAGAAAACCAAGTCAGTGATTTGATTCATTCAGCCACGGAAATGCAAATCAGACACAAAGCCGTGGAGGATTTAATACCGAAGTGAGGTGTTAAGAAGTTCAGTAAGCAACGGCCTGCTGGCCAGGGTAAGGCTGTCCCGGCACACCACATACAGGGACTTGAGGAACCCATGGTCAGTTACAAAATCCTGACCGCAACACATCCAGGCAATAGACAGGCTGGGGGGAAGAAGTCCTCGTCCCCACACTCAGCAGCCCCAGGGCAGGCACTTCCTTCTCGGCTCCCCGTGCCACTGCAGATGGGACTGAGCCCTAAGGACAAAGCCTTCCCCAGAGCTACCTCCAGGTCCCCAGTGCAGGTGCAGAGCCCAGCCGGGGCGCCAAAGAAACCCCATGGGCTTTAGGACTTTGCAGTTGGAGGACATCGCCGTTCTTCCTCCCGCCAGTAGGTGGCAGCAGGCTTTGTTCTAACCCTGGGGAAGCAGCCTTGGGAAGAATGAGCCCTGGGAAAAATGAAGCAGCATTCAGGGTCTCCACCTTGGCCATGTTTAGCTGGGGAGGGGTCCTCAGGGGCGTTCACTGGGACCCGTCGATCATTTCCTCACAGTTCAAAATGCAAAGAGAGGTCAAGTCATGTGTTCTACTCCGGCAACACACCTCCTGGGAGTGCGAGAGATTTTCAAAGTACGGCCCTTAAGAAGAACTGAAATAATCCCAAGGGGGCAGGTGGGAAAGGGTGTCCCCTGCCCTCCTGTCCCACTCAAACTGACACCCAGGGGGCAGAGAGACGAGGGAGGGAGGGAGAGATGATTATCTTCTTAGAACTGGACCTATGCAATTCTGTGAAATCTGTTCTCTTCGTGTTCTTTTAAAAATAGAACCGAAAGAAACAAAGCTGAAAATCCACTCAGCTCCTCTGTCCCCAGCGCCCCTTCCCCTTGAAGCCGGCTCCCCCTTCAGCCTTTACATATTACTTCGCTCCGGAAGCCCCCGGCCCCAGGCATGGCCCTAGTGCCCCCTCCTCCACAAGTCCACCTCTAACCTTGGGTGGAAACAAGCGACACACATTTCCACCCCAGCAGGATCACCCAACTACACTGCCCGCCCCATCAGAGGTCTCCTTAATGCTCTGTACAACAGGAAACACCAAATCAGTTCTATAGGGTAGGGGGGTGGGAAATGAGCCCCGAGAAAGAAAGAGAGGCCCCTCCCTGCCACCCTCCCATCTCTCCTTGAGGCCCCCATTGCCTCAGGCCTAAGCAGTTTCAGATCATCCACTGGCCTCCAGTTCCTGCCTGTCCACCTGCTCTGTGCTCCCAACTACACGATCTCAGAAGGACCGCGGAAAGTGGCACAGGACAGCAAACCTGTTTCTGCCCAGTAGCTGAAGAACGTTCAGCTACAGGGCCTCGACACTACCTTCCCACGATGCCATCTCGGCCTGTGCTGCCACTGCCGTGCCCTGCACTGCAGCCATTCAGTCATCCGTGCGTCTAAGCGGCTCCTACAGCTTGGGCTCCCACACCAACCGTGTCCGCAGGAAAGTAAGGGGCCAAGATGTGAGTGATGGAAAGCAGCGGTGACCTGTTTAACAAGCAACTCATGAACACCTGCACGGGCCAAGCGCCCCCCTCGAGGACCGCAGCTAACACTCACAGGTTGACCGTCTTTACCCGGGATAACGTGTCAGAGAGTTCAAGGGGTCAAAGCACAAGGCTCACAAGCACATTTCCAGGCGAGCAAGCTCACGGCTTGCAGTGTGCTTCCTCAAGCCTTCTCAGGGCACGCAAGCGGGCCGCTGTCACTGCCAGGCCTTGTTCCAAGCACTCTGCCACGGGCACTCCGCCCTCCCCACCGCCCAGCAGGTGCGTGCAGGTCACCAGTGAGCTGGGGAGCCACAGGGCTTGCCTCTGGACCTTGTGCTTGGCCTCCAGAGTTCACAGGTCTGACCACCAGCTATGTGACCTCCCGCTGCCAAGCAAGCAGAGAGGCATGTACAAGGGCTCGGGGAAGACATGGAGACCCACTTCAGAAGGGGACTTCACCATGCTTTCTCCACCCTCCCAGCCAGGAAACGAGCTCCTTGGCAGTTTGGCAGGGTTTCTCCTGGCCACCTTGCCCTAGGTCCTAGGTGTCAAGCCATGTGGCTGCCTCCTGCTGGGCTCAACACAAAGCAGTGGTGAGTGCAAACCCACACTGTACCACTTCCCCTCACACATCGCTGCTACCTTGGCCTTCTGCCTCTCTGGTTCTCATCCTCACCTCCCTAGGCCTGCCCTCCCCAGGAACCTGGACTACTTTCCTCTGAACTCAAGGACCCAGACCAAGACACAGAAAAAGGGGACCCTGGAGTCCATAAGGCAGCTCCTGAAGGAGTGCTTCCTCATGAATAAAAAGGAATGCAAAGAAAAAAAAACACACTACCCCCATCTTGGGGATCTGCCTGTAATATCTGGAGCCCTTGCAACCACTTTGTGAACACAGGCACCTGCTGAAGATGACTGAGGACAATGAGGATCCTTGAGCTGCTAAGTCAACCAACTCGAGACCCTCCGTACTCCAGATTTCTTGCCCAGGGAAATAAAACACCAAGAATTCAGTGTCACCAGGTCTGCCAGGTCCTGCCCCCACCCACAAACAAAATATCCTTATAAGCACACCCAGCAAACTCTCCGTAGGGGCAGACACTTCAGACGGGCTCATCTTTCTAAAGTTAACTTAAAGCCTAGTTGCACCCAGGAGAAAGATGGATGGAGACCAGCTTCCACAGATTTGCACGCTGAACACCAAAGTCAACAGCAGAAAAAAAGGAAGTCCAACTTCCTGTCCCTTCCCCTTCAGCCCCTTCCCCTCTCCCCAGAGGGCCCAAAAGGGCCATAGGGGTCGCACCCCTAGAAGCATCCCATGGAAATAGGCCCTTAAGTCTATAAAAGCCACTCTTTGAAACAGAGAACATTCTGGTTACCAGTGGTTAGCAGGGCCCAGGCAGGGCAGGCGGGGGCGAGGATGAGGAGAGCTTATTCAAGGGCTGCAAGTGACAACAGGAAGGAGGAAGAAGTTCCCTGCTATTACACGGTCCTCTGCCCCAAGTGAGCAATAATGTGTATTTCAAAACAGCAGGCAGAGGGGATTTCACTTCTTACGATGGAAAGCGGGGATTTCCCACCACAAGGAGGTGGTGACCACTCAGGTGACGGGCGCTCAGGTGACTCCGAGCTGTCGATGCATAATACATGCATGTGGGGCCCAGCACCATAGCGTAGTGGTTAAAGTCCTCGCCTTGAGTGCACCAAGATCCCATATAGGGACCGATTCTATTCCTGGCAGCCCCACTTCCCATCCAGCTCCCTGCTTGTGGCCTGGGAAATGCAGTCGAGGATGGCCCAAATCTTTAGGACCCTGCCCCCACATGAGAGACCCAGAAAGAAGCTCCTGGCTCCTGGTTTCGGACTGGCTCAGTTCTAGCCATTGTGGCCGCTTGGGGAGTGAATCATTGGAAGGAAGATCTTCCTCTCTGTCTCTCCTCCTCTCTGTATATCTGATAAATAAAAATAAATAAGTCTTAAAAAAAATACATGCAAGTGGCACAGGGCGGTCCCAAGTGCCTGGGTCCCCCAGCTGCCTGCTCACGGGCATGCTGCAAGACAGCAGGTGATGGCTAAAGCGCCTGGGTCTCTGCCACCCACATGGGACAGCCGGGTGGAGTGCCAGCTCCCAGCTCTGACCTGGCCCAGCCCTGGCTGCTGGCAAGCATGCGGGGAATGAACCAGCATTTTACTATCTCTCTCTCTCTCTCCCTCTCTCTCTCTCTCTCCCTCTCTCTCTCTCTCTCTCTCTCTCTCTCTCTCTTTCCCTTCTTCTCTCCCACAGGTACATTTTTAAAAATTGAAATGTTTAGAAAGCCATCACTTTTCGCTCTCTATCTCCCTCAAAAGGAAATTAAGTAGGCAAAGATAAACAGAGCCGAGGGACCTATCGGGCTTCAAGATCTGCTCCCTTCTCTCTGAATCTCCGAACCTCTGGCCCACTCATCAATCAGGGGACTATGAATAAGCCCACCCTGGGACTAGGACTAGGACTCCTGGGGGCACCACAAGCTCCAGGGCCTCAGAGGATGGCGCTGGCATAGAGGACCACGGATGCTGCAGCAGCGCTGTTGCCAGGGGCAACAAGGCAGAAGCACCCAACCACACACCACGAAATGATGAGCAGCCATCCGTCATTAGGGGAACGAGGTGCTGACTCCTGCTCCAATGTGGGATGAATCTCAATCAAGCCAGACCCCAAAGCACACACACTGGATGATTTCATTGACACAAAACGAACAGAAAGGGGAACCTCACAGAAACCGAAAGCAGACCAGTAGTCGCCAGGGGCTGGGAGGAAGGGGAAGTGGCAGCTAACAGGTGCAGGGCTTTCCCCTTGTGGGTAAAGAGCACGTCGGGAGCTACACAGAGGGGATGGTTGCACAACGTTAGGGGTGGACTGCATGCTGTTGAACAGTACACTTGAATGTGGTTCACTTTGTGTTCTATAAAATTCACTGGAGCTTTTAAAATAGACAGTAAGTAGGCAATGTCATTCCAGGCCCTGGGACGGAGGCGGGAAATGAAGCTTGGAGAAGGAGAAGGAGTTGTTAGAAAAATATGGGAAGTCTTAAAAGGTGGGTTTGAATGGAAAAAGGCAAAGAACCAACATGGGGTGACTAGGCACCTAGTACGTGCTTGGTGCCGGGCACTAAACTGGACTTTCTAGTTCCATCTCAGCACAAAGTTCTGGAGCCACAGTCAGAAGCACGGGGACTGCAGCCAGATCACCTAAAGGCCATCAAGGGGAACCAGCACTGTCCCAGAACTGCGGCTCGAGTCCCAGGGATCCTCCGCCAAACCCCTCAGAGAAAGGAACTTAACGCTGCTATTTGTGCCACCCTGCGTCAGCCAAAACTGCAACCCTAAAAGCAGGATCCACGCAGAACCCTAGATTCTTCC